GGGAAAAAGAAAGCTGAGATTCTAATGTAATCATTTGACTCTAGGACCTGGAGAACTGAGATAATCATAAGTTGCCATTACTGATTTGGTGCCTTATATAAGTTTCTTGTGTTTCTTCATATTATGAAACCAAGAAGCACAAAGGAACTGTCTGACACAGATTGAACTCAACACCCACACATTCGTGTGCCCATAACACTCACCGTATGTGTTTTGAAGGAGAGACACTGCTCTTCCAATTTCAAAAAGAATAAAAGTAATGTATGCTAGTTTTGCATCTGTCTTTCCTAGTATATAATTAGGTCAACCGGTGATGATGGTTTTCATGATTTCATTCTCAAGTGAGGACTTTCATGCTAGCATAGAAGCCTGAAGAATCATTTCCTTTTCTTTAATGTCTGTTTCAAACTGCCTAGGACTTAGCTGCTTTAACAATGAGTCAGTCTCAACTCAGAAAAAAATCATTTACAGTTGCAGTGGAAAACCAGATCCTTGTTGTGCACATAAAGGCCCGTTATTTAGCAGAAGTGCCTCAGAGTGCCTCATGCCTAATATGCAAAGAAAAGTGATCTACATAACAATTAAAGGGAATAACTTAGAAAGTGCTTTATGTTAGTTACTTTTTTTGGTTAATAAATTGGGGAAAAAAACATACCAATGGAAAAATGGATAAGATCATTAAATCTATCATCCTTAGGGACACTCAGTAGTTCTCTACATTGGCAGTTTCCAAACTAGGGGTCAGGATCTGACATGGGTGGTGAAGCCCATAAAAAAATAAATATCCTTAATGTGCTCCAGCCAGAAGTGAGATCACCTGTAGTTGTGAGCCAACTAGTGGTAAATTCCTGAGTGAGGTCACAGCAAGAGACTCGGTGCCACTGTCATAAACAAAGGATGTATATGGCATTAAACTTATTTTACACTTGTTCTGGAGACAAAGAAATTGGGCATGGGCATTAAGGCCTAATGCCGAGTAAAATGAATATACTGTTTGCATTGTGTTTACTTAAGGCTGTTGACCTGGCTCAGCATGTCAAATGTTTGTTACAGTGCACTGTGAAGCTAGTGAGTGGAGCCCGTGGAGCCCTTGCACAAAGAAAGGAAAAACGTGTGGTTTCAAAAGAGGAAATGAAGTGAGGGTCAGAGAAATCGTACAGCAGCCTTCAGCAAGGGGCAATCCATGCCCCACTACAAGCGAAAGCAGAAAATGTATTGTACAGAGAAAAAGATGTCAGAAGGAAGGAAAAGGTACTATGTTATCATCATCATAATATGAGACTGGTATTGTGCTTGTTTAATGGCTTGCATCTGAAAGCATGGGCCTGCACTACTTATTTCACCAAAGCTCCCATTGCTGTAAGGGTTAGTTTGGCTTGAGTGACTCATGCCCTTGCATAGAGTAAGTAATGCCCTCAGACCACTCACAAGCTGCACTTCCATGTGACCTAGAAGGTCTAGATCATGTGGTCCTACCAGCAGAACTGCTAGTTCATTAATGTGAGTACCAGGTAACCCATTAAGGGGCACCACAGGGAAGAAATGAGGTCAGGGAGTCTTAGTTCTGTCCCTGCATGCTTAATACTTGCAGATGGGGATGGAAGTTTCCTGCTGCTTTACCGGAGCAGCAGACTTCACATTCCTTAACCCATATTGGCCTAGTAGTGCGTTGAAGAGGCAAAATCATGGCCCCATGCACTTTCCCTGCCCACCTGCTGGAAAGAAACAAGAGCACAACATGCATCTTGGATTCAGTGCCCCCAGATCCAAGGCACCACAATGAGGTTAGTATGCTGTTGCATAGTTGGAGAACTCCAGAGTTCTTCAGTCAGCTTGCAAGAACCAGGAGTTGTGTCCAGTTTTTATTTTTTTCTGTCAACAGTTTTGTTGAGCTTGAGCAAAGGAAAATAGGGACTGACTTTTCATTCTGAACTGTAAATAATGGTTTTCTCTGGGTGGTGGTGGTGATGATGATGATGATGTATTTTGCTCATGGTGTTTTGGCAACAACTTCAGTTTGGACAGAACGTTTCACTTTGAAAAGTGTCTGCTGTTCATGTGTAGTCAGGGTGGGGTTAACACACAGGCAAAGTACGCATATACTTAGGGCCTTGTGCTGCAGGGGGGTCCTGGTCCTTCCCTCCACAGCAGCCGTGTGAATGGCCCTGTCTGCCTCCCTTCCCTTCCCTTCCCTTCCCCTCCATCAGCCTTGCTGCCATGGTGGCTGCTTCCTAGCAGCGGCTCCAAGCCCCGCTCCCCGTGGGTAGCAGCACCGGGCTGGGGAGGGGGGGTCTCGACTGGTCCATGGTCCACGAGTTAATTTGCCTAGGGCCCACTAAAGGGTTAATCCAGCCCTGCATGTAGTACTTGTAAAGAAACTTCCTTATGTATATTACCACCAATTCTTGTTTTATAGACTTTACAGCACTTGTGCCAAATCATATTTACAAAATATTGCATGCCTCAAAATTCCTTTAATGTCATAGATCTGTTTTTGCAAAGTGCATAAAGTTCCCCCGCTTTCCCTTTTGAGCAAGTAATGGGCCACATTCTGCCCCTCTATACCCAGTGAGCAACTCCTTTGAAGTCGATGAAGTTAGATAAAGTATACATTACAAAAGATTTGGTCTCTGAGGGATTTTTGTGTCTGAGGGCAAGATGAAGCCACTTGCTTTCTTAAAAGTTCTAAAATCCACAATTATGTACACCATCCTGTAGAAGAGTAGCCATGAACATCTGTCAATCTACTTTCATGCACTTCCATAAGGAGATGGACTTAAAAAAAGAAACGGTAATCTTTAATAAACCCAAGAAAATTCACACACAAAACACAAGGTTAAAATAACATTAAGAGTTGGATTATGGTGACACAACCTAGGAAACTGAGAATTAAGGCAAAAAGTCGACATTTTCTTTTTCACTGGAAAAGGGGAAATGAAGCTTTTCAGTTTAATCTTCAGGCTATTTCTGCCTGCCCTCCCAACTTGCCGCCTCTTGCACAAAATGGTTGCATTTAAAAGCCGGATTTAAGCCTACTGCAGCTAAGGATTGACACGACACCTCATTCGATTAATAGCAGAAATCTTTAATAACAATACCAAAAACAAGCTATAAAACTAAATGACAGAAAAAGACTCCTTTTTAATATTCAGTAAATGAGCTATCACAAAAGTCCCAGCAAAAGTTTTTTCTCTCCCAAGCAGGCAGAAAGCAGTTCTTGTCTTTACAGTCTTCACTAAACAATGATCCGTCGCCCAAGAGGTGAACGGCTGGGTGCAGAAATGATTTCTGATTTTTCTCTCTCTCTCTCTTTCCTGGTGTGCATACCTTGCTGACAACTTTATTTCATTCTTATACAGTTTAATTGTATAGCTTCAAAGCATTCCTTCTTGATAGTTAAGAGACCACCACATTACAATTGCTAACTGCGAGGAACCTGTTTTTGGATGTCTAGGTGTGAAACTTGTTTTTGCAAGCTTTTGACCAGTCCGGAGGTTACGCAGTAATCAAGTAGGATGAGTTTTGATTGACTGAAGATGGATCTTGATTGACTGAATGGACTACCGTACTCTGGGCTGTTGTTTTAACAATGGGGCAGAATTTACATTTACAATAGTTCACATGGTGGTGGTCTGAGGCATTTGGAAAACCTCAGACAGACATTGAATGGCTATTCTGAGAAACATGCCTTAATTAAGGGGGAATGTGTCAACCAGGATACAGCCAGTAGGGGTATGCAGATATTTATGAATGGTTTAGCATAATAAAACATTGGGTACTTTTGCAGCTAGTACAGGCGATGAAATCAATTGGGATTACTTTATTTCGCATGGTCCCAGTCACGATCTTGCATTCTTGTGCAAGATGTACTGTTATTTTAATTTGGTCATTTAAATTTCATGTGTAGGTCCGACCAAGCTTTTACAGTCATCAACATGTAGCTCTGTTTTTCTTTGAATGACACATTGAATATAAAAGAAACTGAGCTTGGCTATAGCTTCATGACTAAATATGTTCAGAGAGCTACACAGTAAAAAAAAAAAAAAGCAAAGAAAAATGGGGGGTTGGCAGGGGAAGGAACTTTGGGGAATAAACTAAACTGGACTTACTATTAAGAAAGAATTAAGTAAGTTTGGGATTTATTTTGTAATGTATACATTGTTTTGAAATACAGCTTCCTTATTGCCTACTGTGCAACAGGCCAGACTTAGGGTAGAACCTGGATACTTTTCAGGTTGGGTTTCTAACCTAATGGTGAAGAAAGTTTGCAAAGTAACTGGGAGTATACATAACTACAAATGGCTGTGTGAGACTGCTGAGGTGCTCCAGCTGTTTGCTGCAGCTTTTGTTTCAAAGGCACCTCTTCCTCAATCAGCTGTGCAGGACCACTGATGTGTTCCAGCTGAGTGGAAAAGTGGCACCATTTGAAGTAAAAGCTGCAGCAAACAGCTGAGTTGCTCTTCCATGATTCATAGATGCTAGGGTCAGAAGAGACCTCAATGGATCTTTGAGTCTGACCCCCTGCCAGTGGCAGGAAAAAGTGCTGGGGTCATGTGCCCCCAGCCAGGTGCTTGTCCAGTCTCTTCTTGAAGACCCCCCAAGGTAGGGGAGAGCACCACCTCCCTTGGAAGCCTGTTGCAGATTCTGGCAACCCTAACCATGAAGTTCTTTGCGATGTCCAACCTAAATCTACTCAGCAACCTACTGCAAGTGAAGGAGGTTACAAACCACTTGGATGCAAAAGATCTGGGCTCTATTGTATTAGCAATGATACTGGTCATAAGGCCATTGTTAGCTAGTTCTGCACATGCTGGTCCCTTGTTGAATGCAACTGTCATAAAATAGTAGGGTAGGCAGGGACCTCAAGACTCCTCTAGTGCAATTCCATGCACAGATGCAGAATAACTTTTTCTATATCAACCCAGATAGATGCTTGTCCTGCCTCTTTTTGAAAACCTCCAGTGAAAATTATTTCACAACTTTCATAGTCAGATTATTGCATTGTCCTACTGTCCTTAATGGCTACAACCTACACCCCTGTCCTTATAGTAGCAACTTTTTCCTGATGCTTGTTTTTAATTTGCTTTGCTGTAGTTAAACCCATTGCCTGTTGTCCTGTGCTGTGAAATAAGGAAAAGCAATTTTTTTCCTCCTTTATGTCCTTTCAGCTATTTGAAAACAAATATCATATTCTCTCTTAACCTCCTTTTTACCAATCTAAACATGCCTAGTTTCTTAAACCTTTCCTCATATGGCTTACATTTCAAACTTTTTATCATAGTCTTTAGAGGTGCACCAATACCTCGGTTCAATATCAGATTGGCACAGATATAAAGAAAATTGAGTGTATCGGAAATTGGCTTCTTTTGCCTGATGTGGCCAATAATTTGGCTGATAAATGCCTGGTGCATGCGCGCAGCTGCAGTGCAGCACATTGGCGGTGAGAAGTACAGCCTGGCAGCTTGGAAAGCTGCATCAAACTGACAAGTCTGTTGTGGTGGAAAGGGAGGGGTTAGGGAAGGGGTATATGGGGATAGATCAAGGCCCCCATGGTGAGGGAGGTAGTGGGTATGGGGCAGGGACTGGGGCAGGTGCTGCCTAGCTGGGGTGGGGCACAGGGTGCTGCCACAGCTCATCCAGGGGGTAAAGGGTAGCAGATAAAGGCCCTTGCAGTGAGGAAGGGAGTGGGACTGATGCTGGGAAAGGGGCGGGGCAGGGCAGGTGCTGCCTAGCTGGGGTGGGGCACAGGGTGCTGCCACAGCTCATCCAGGGGGTATGCAGAATGGGCAGGGGGAAGGGTGGGTCCCACTGCTGAGCACATCCCAGGAGGGCATAGGGGTGTGTGCCCCCAGATCTGCACGCGGCATGGGACAGGCTGCTACTACGGGCTGGGGCCGGGGCTGCACCAGGCTCTTCCTGATGGGGGCCAGGCTGGGCTGCACTTGAGGGGCAGCAGCAGCAGTGCTGGGAGTGGGGGTTGGGGGGCTACAGTGAACTTTGGAGTGGCTGAATCCCCCTGTAGCCCTGCTTCCAGTGCTGCTGCTGCCTGCCCTGAGCATAGCCCGGCCCAGCCCCCACCAGAAAGAGCCCAGTGCAGCCCCTGGCCCCAGCCCAGTGCAGCCCAGCCTACCCCACCCTATGCAGATCTGGGGGCACATGTCCCCCATGCCCTCCCAGGGTGCACGCTGTGGTGAGAGCTGCCCCCCTGCCGCCGTGCCTCCCATATGAGCCGCAGCCCCATCCTGAGTCCT